CCCCAAAACCCCAAAACCCCAAAACCCCAATTTTATTAAAAAATATTGAGCCAAAATATTTAAAATTTTATAAAGAGGTAAGGTGTTGGGGAATGCCGGATTCAAATTTATCTTGAATAGATACAGAAAATACAAGAATTTGAAAATATGAGAAATCAATCTAAAGAGTTTGCCCAGAGGCATGCAAAGCCCTTCTTTACGAATTCCCAAAGAGGAGGTATAGACATGGAAGACTGGAACAGGAATAAGTTAGGTTATGTTCAGTTCCGTCAAATCGATAGAATAGAACTGATTCCAAACGCATTAGAGGCATTAACTCCTCTCCAGTTTGAGGATCCTGACCCTAACCTTGTTGAGCTCAAAGATCTGAAATATAATCATGACGATGAAAGAATGAAATAAGCCCAAAAAGATTCGAAAATATTCATCGAATAGGAAGCTAAATACTGATCTTTATACTGGGGAGAACTGGGCTTTAAAATTCAAGATGATAAACGCAGACTCAAGGGTTGTCAAGTCTATACTACAAGTTCATGAATTTGAGGAAACTCAAGGCCATGACTGGAATATCTTATGGACCAATACTATCGGAAAGCCTTACTTGTACACAGGTTTGAATGAGTATCAGAAAGTAAATCATTTCCCATCTTCCTATGAAATCACTCGTAAATAACAACCTTGCGAATAATGTGTATGTGATGCAGACGCAATTCAGTAGAAAAGAGTTTGATGTTATCCCTGAGACATATGTCCTTCCAAAGGAATTCGGCGACTTTCTCAATAGCTTTAAACGAAGAGAAAGTAATGACCAGATTTCTGAGAATATATGGATAGTCAAAGCAAATGCTCTATCCCGAGGGAGAGGAATTTATCTTATAGACAGCCCAGCACAAGTCAATATGGAATCTCCTTGTGTGGTGAGTAAGTATATCTCAAATCCTTTGCTGATAAATGGCCATAAATTTGACCTCAGACTTTATGTTCTAGTGACTTCCTTCGATCCATTGAGGATTTATCTGTACAAAGAAGGACTGGCTAGATTTTGTAGCGAGAAGTATAATTTAGATAAGCCCTTGAAGAATAAATTTATGCACTTGACCAACTATTCGATAAATAAGAAGAACTCTAAGTACGTTAAAAATGTTGACGAAGACGATGCTTATGGATCTAAATGGTCCCTCACTGCCTTGATCAAGCATCTTGCTGGCATTGGTTGCGATACAGATGAATTATGGAAAAATATCACCGATATCATAATTAAATCTATCATTTCAGGTGAAAAACATATTTCTTCAGCAATCAAGAGGAATCTAGAGCACAGAGGCACTTGTTTCGAGCTGTTTGGGTTCGATGTGTTAATTGATAGTAACTACAAGCCTTGGGTAATGGAGATTAACCTATCTCCTTCCTTAGCATGAGATGCTCCTATTGACTTCAAGATAAAATCAAAGTTAATTTATCAAACCTTAAATCTTGTTGGAATTAAGCAATTTGATCGTCAAGAAGAAGCTAGGAAGAAAATAAAGAATCGGACTAGAGCTGGAGTAAACCATTTAACAAAAGGGCCTCAATTTAGTAAACTTCCTACCCCATCTCAGATCTTAAAAACTCCAATCGAGCTGTTCGGGTCTGGTTTTCTAAACAAAGCTGATATTCAGGGGGTTAACAAACACTCTTCTGACAAATTATCAATGGACCAAGAGACAAGAGAAACCATCAAAGATATCATTGAGAATAATCTTAAACTCCCTGAGGGCCAAATCTACGACTTGTTCAAGAAGATTACCTACAAGAAGAAAGAGGTATTACGGGACACCCTCTTTGAGAGCCAAAGGTTGGGTGACTTCACTCGGATCTTCCCTGTAAAGGGGACTAACAAATACCTCAGATATTTTAGCAGCCAGAGTAACACGAATAAAATCACATATGATTTCTTCTACAGCACCATAAGTAATGAGGAAGAGAAGAAACTTCCTGAGGAGAATAAGGGTATTAATAACTTCTTTGAGCCTAATATGCAAAACTCTGTGTTTAGTAATACGAATAAGCACTTCTTGAATCTTGAGTCCAAGCTCAGGCCTCTGAGAAAGAGACCAGACTCAGCAGCTCATGCTTGTAAATAGCACTCTCAGCACAAGATCCAGCACAAAACCCAACGAGTCCTCAACAACCCTCCACCTTCCTCTCAAGAAGAAGTCGACTGAAGATATCCTGATAGATTACTTTCAAGGAATCCTTGATAACATAAAGAATCAGTTTGCTTTCTTCTCTAATAAACAAGCACCCGTTATTTGTTTTGACCAGTTAGAAGGAGTACAGAAGATGTATGAGGGACAGAGTAAGTGAGAGTTTTAAGTTTTGTGTAGAGAGAAGGAGAGCAAAAAGTTCTTATGGGAGAGGCAAGAGAAATATAAGGTCAAGTTATGCATTTTCGAGTTATTTAGTGCAGAGATTTGGATGGTTGGAGAGGTATTTTAGTATGACGGTAAATGAGCTGGTAAAAGATAAACGGGAGCAGGAGGTTTTGGGAAATGAGTTGGTTTCGATTATTAATAGATTGAAATTGGTTAAACCGAGGTCTAATAAAGGGAAAAACTCAATGACAAATATTGATATTAGTTCACATGACTCATTTAATGAAAAGCACTCTATACCAGTGATCAGCAGGCTAAGAAAAGGAAAGTATAACGGAATACCTCGTCCAAATAGAGCTCTTACAGCAAAATATCGTCCTATGATGGCTAAGAATTCATTAAGACCTCCAACTGCAGCTATTGCTTCTCGTAATTTCTTACCTCCAAGACCCTTAGGAAAGAAATATTCGAAGCCAAGGATAAATTCAGCTTATGAACATCAACTTTTGGGACCAATCGTGACTAAAATATCAGGGTCTCAGTCAAGAATACTATAATTTTCAATACGAAAATACCGTTTTGGGGTTTTGGGGTTTTGGGGTTTTGGGGTTTTGGGG